CTACCTCAGGTGGGCTGTCATATGACCCTCCCATGCCCTGCTCGTCAGAATTTTTTACAAAGACACGTTGACATTTCAAACATCAGAAATATCGCTGCCTGCCGTTCAGATGTGATGAGACCGCCCGCCCTATTAAAGCCCCATTGGCAAGCGTCCCCTAGTCCCGGCCTATTATCTGGACAATTCTGCATAAATATCTAATTTGCTGCTTTTCATACCCATCTCGCTAGCTCACCATGACTCTTACTACCCTAAAGCATCATCAGTTATCGAATACGTTATGGGAAGTAGTAATAAAAGGACTTTCCACATCATCAGACATGGCCACAATTCACTGTTCTTCTGGACACAGGCATAAACACAGCATATTACGGCATCACCATGCTCTGAAATGAGTTCCCAATTCAACGCAGGGTTTTTCCAGAAATAATTCGCAGCGCATTTCCAAGCGGCCTTTTCCCGACTCAAGCGTGTTGTATTTTATGACCAGCAACAACCAAATGCAAGGGCCAAAAAAGGCGTCAACTCATGTACTTCCCCATACGCGTAGACCGTCACTTCCTCCATTGCAATCTCCATCGCACAAGTGCGCTGTGTAAAGGTGTACAGGTGGTCGATGATGCGACAGCCACCCCCCGGTTGTCTTGATTCCGGTGTCGCGTAGTCAGTGTTGGGTCATTATAACAGGCCGATAATTCGGGCAAGAGCATACCCCGCCGGACCTTAAGAAGGCAGCCATTCTTGTACAGGTGAAGCCAGAGGCCATCTACATCAGGGATGTTATCCAACGACGGCTACCTGTGCATACCAAGTCTCAGTTCCTCGCCGTTGAGCAACCGGACCAATCTGGAATATGGCGCTGGACCTACGGCGAGACGCTGACAGCGATGTACGTCGTTAAACCCGCTTCTTTCAAGGTAGACGGTTGTTTTGCGGTGTGTCCAAACACAAAGAGAGCCACTGCAGTCCATACACGAAACAATGTATTATGAACAGCTACCCGGAAGATTTCCGGGGAGTATAATTTCATGTCTAAGGTCATTTTGAATAAGCATGTTTGTCTCGTAGCGGCATTGCTCTCAGGCAGAATACTACCTTGAACTGCCTTTCGTGGCTGGGGAGACATGCGGCTTAATGAGGGCATGCTTCCCTATCTCCTTAGATGGTGTCTGCAGGGGAATATAAACAATAAGGGTAGACATCACCATATGTGATTGAATTCGTAAGACGGACGGAATGCTTGTTTTTGGTCAACAAGCAGAGTCTTTGGCTACTCTGGGAAGAAGCAAGCACTGGTAGAATCAACAGCGTCCGTTGCTAGTCTGTGTTACTAACGTGAACAGCATAGTCATTGGCTTTAGGCCAGTATACATTAAAACAAATAGTGGTCTTCATGAATAGTTTGCAAGGACAGTGTATTTAGTGACATGCCGCTTTCTTGAGCAGTGACTGGACCTCCTGGGGCACAGCTTGCCTCTACTACAACATCGCCGCATCGTTGACTACCCTATATACAGTATCAAAATACAGTCTTGTCAAGTAATGGGTGATCAGCCACTCCAGACCACAAATCTATAAAGAGATCAGCGCTTGGGAATACTGAGACACGCGAAAGACGCGCGGTATCGAGTCTTGGGATTCTGCGCTGCAGCTAAATAAGAGGAGTGCGACAGAATACCCGTACATTACCACCGCCTCGAAGATAAACCCTTGAATAGTTTCTAACACGGGGCTCGGACACGGTCACAGAACCGCAACCACCACTCACGGTCGCATGCAATCCCCGTTCGGTTTGCCGAGTTTCGCAGTCGTTCTTGTCTCCGGGGAGTTGCTCTTGCAACTTGGTAGAGAATCCATCAGCTTGTGTTGTTCTATTCGTAGGCACAATGGCGGAGTTTAAGTGATCCAACAGCTGTTGATATTGCAATGTGTTGACCAAACAGCACATCTCCCGAAGAGTCCGCTCGTCTCCTGAAAAGTCGGCCGCGAGGCTGTCGTATTTGTGGAACTATTCCAGTCCCAGGTGGTAATGTTGCTGGCCATATTTGAATACAAAACCATATGGTTAAGGACAAAATATTATGTGGATCAGTGTTGCTGGCAAGAAGGTACTCTGGCCGCAGTGTCGTAGACATCACAATCAACCAACCATTGTGGATGAAAAAAAGAGAAAGTACCGGTTGGAATACTCCGTTTCACCCGCTTCATGGAAACCTGAAATGGTTGGAAACATGCTAACAAACGTTTTAGTATGCCATAGTCTGTTTTCAAGCACTAATATAGGCGTTAGTACATACCAGGCTTGCCCTTGATTTTGTCACACGGGCCCGAAGTTGACGATAACTACACAAGGGCACAAGACCTAGAAGCCTTAGGCTGCAAGCCTCATTACTGCTTTGTGTAATAAGGCCCTTTGGTCCCAAAGACCTTGAGCAAAAAAAGGACCTTTCATATCTAAAAGGATCATTACTGTTGAATTGAGTTATTACTCCGAGCCTTGTCATCTCAACCCTTGTCACAGACTTGTGAAGAATAATTTTGCAATAGACGAGGTTTTCTATCACTTCCACTGTCGTTTTAAGAGATAACGATACTGGAAGGATAACAAGCGCGGAATAGGGGGTGCGTTTATTTCTGACAAGGAGTCGACCACTAACCAGAAAAGGCTTTCCCGACTGAAGGAATGATGATATTCGTATGTGAAAGAATGGCAAAGCTGTTCAATTATTTGAAGCAACATGACAGATATTTGAAAGGCCGGCACCTCAAAGTAATGTTTCCAAGGAGATAAATTTGAACTGTATGCCTGCCGTCGTGACGTCGGTTGAATATCATGCTCGCGTCACATTGCTCTGAAAGATGGCACTGTTGCTGGATTTTCCACCACGTCATTATGATTTTTGACTGGCCAAGATGTTTGATATTTTCATGACCACTGCAAATATGCCTTGACCAAGGCAATTTCCAATAACGTTTGAAAAGGAGCAAAAAGGAGAAAATTAAGCGAAAGACCTTCATAACACGGGAACAATGCCCTAACTCTCGACGAATCAAAGTCCGAAAGCTGAAGCAAAAGGTCAGCAGCGGAGGCAATCTCATCCTTTACGCCATGTAAAAACGTGAATAATATCTAACACAAGGCGCTGATTGGCCGCAAATTGAAATTGTGGTTAACGCCATATTCATACAAATGCCGACGTAGGAGCAAATGCTCCGGCACGTTGCTGACGACGGAAGGATGGTCGGTCAGTCTGACGGACAAGCAGGCATTGACCCCGGATCAAGCAATTTGGCGCCCCGAAGTCTTGCCCCGAACCCACATGAATTTCTCTTCGAAGCGAACAGATTGGCTTTGCGGGAAGATATCCTAGTTTCAGTGTTCCCGTCCGGCAGTGGACCATGGCCTCCGTCTCCGTATTTTCGCCGACTTTGGCCAGAGGGCCAGGGGCGGCCTCGCGCATGGCGGCGTGGCGACAGTGGCTTTATTGTTGGCCCTACGCATATCATGACAGCAGTACGGAGTAAGTTTTTGACAAGAGGCAGGAAACGTACTCCGTACCAGCCACATCTATGACTCGGCGGGCGTCGTGGCGTCCGGGCAGCAATGCTTCTTGGGTAATGAAACAAGGGATGATGACGTGTTGGGTGGCCAACTGACAAAACCAAACAAAATCGCTTCTGCCTGCTAACCGCGAGGGAGTTGGCTGGGATTTCACTGTCAGTACTTCCGTAAGGCCACCCAGATTCAACTCTTCGAGGCCAGTCTTAGTCTCCACTGCGCGTTGGTTGCCGGGATCGCCAACTAGTTATGCGGGGCTTCAAAGAGAGGTTGAAGATGTCAATTCCGGGTAGGAATAGGTTCGCCGTCCATCCAACCGAAAAACGTGTAAGTAAAATGTCGATAGGGAATGGTCGCGGTCAACATGGAAATACCCGATAACAACTTGATTGATTTGTCGTGTTTCATTGTGCGAGTCACTCACTTGATGGAGTGCCATGTAAACGGCAAATGCAGTCTATGGTCCCCTTTGAACCACAATCCACCGCCAGGGTAACAATAGATAATGTCACCACAGTGCCCGGTTTAGGTTTGAAGATGGCATCTGTATTTTCGGAAGGCAAGTTTCTTTGTATAGTAGGACCAAGAAATTCAGCAACTAATGGCAAGCCTCTCGTTTGTTTAGTAGTTATTTTCCGGAGCCGAGAAGCTCTAAACGATTAGCGGTTCGCCAGCACAATGGTTAATAAGATGCTCCAATCAACGGATCTGCGCCACAAAAAGGCTCGGGCCAGCGGGATTGATTCCATGTCACCCAACAGCCTACGGAGTATTGTGATCCCAGCACTGATGACCCCATCACCGATTCATTAGCCAGTGGGTATCGTGGTATCCCGTATTCGTCGTCAAGCTTGCTTTTGGACCCTTCTTTCGGGACTTCGGCCGCCACGGCTGTCCGCGCCGTAGTGCTAATCCCAGTTGCGACTGAGGCGGGAATCTAGCTCGTTGAGTATGCTTCTTGTCGTCTGGTCGTCCTAGTTACGTGCTAAATGAAGAATTGTTGCCGGGCATGATGCTTTAAAAATTTGTCACAGACGCACTGCCTATTCTTTTTGATTATCTTCTGAGTATTGCCGAATATTGGATATGGAGATTCTTTTCGTCGGGTTTGCGCAACCAGCCACAAATTGTGGCAAAAGTCTCGCAGGGCTGACTACCTAAGGCCCAGGTAGTTAGTTGTACAATCTGTCGATCATTGCGTGGCTCAACAGGCCCGGCGATCATTTGGCCACAACTTGGGCCCCTAGCCTCCCCAGAACATCCCACCCATTGCTAATCCGAAATGGACGAGCCCATTTCCCCCTTCGGACAGCTTGAAATTTTTTTTATTTCTTTTTTTTTTGCCGCCTCCCCCCCTTGGCCAGCTTGCCTATCCTGAGCAGAAAACGGAGGGAATAAAACGACCTTGTTGTTCTGGAAAAGCGGACCTTGTAGCCTTTCACTATGCGCCGCCCGGCCGATTCAGCCTATCATGAAAGAGACGGAGCTTTTGCTCCGGTCTTTCACTGCCGTGCCCAGTTCGACCTGGATCAGATGTTGTTGCCCGTCCAGCAGTGCAAAGTGCGGGTGCGGCTGCACAAGTTTTATCAGGTCGAAATAGCCCTTCTTCATCTCTCATGTCGTTCTTTTGTCCCTGTGGGAGTTTCGCAAGCTTCCCATCAGAGTCTTTGCCAGCCACCGCGGTGACAAGGCCACACTGTTCGCAGCAGGACCTTCATATACCCGTAGAGTGGTGGACTGGTTGAACCAAAGTTCCCCGAACCCATTCGTTTACCCATACAACTCCGGCCAAGGCTCGTACGGTGGCAACTGTTGGTGTTTCGGTTCCGTGCTAAAGGCTGTTTGCCTTACCAATGCCTCCGCCTATATCAACGTGGTCTTGACAGCTTGTCACTTCGATACGCTTCACCTGGAATCGGTCAACACATTCGTGGAAAGTATTTCTCCTCTTCTCGCCCTTGACATCTCCAGTCCCATGTCAACAATACTCAAAGCCTACCCTATCCATGACGCTTGATCACCTGCTACACGCTGCGATAGGTGGTGAAGATATTCTCCAGCCACGATAAATGTGCAAGGAGCATACGGCTGAGTGCCCAGTTTGCGGGAAAGAATATCTCGTCTATGTTGCGTTTTGTCATTCATTCCATCCACCGTTGTTATCTTGCCCCAACGGCCTGATCACCATTCGAGAGAAGATGCGCGACGGCCAATGTCCAAGCCCCGTCTGTCCCAATAGTCTCCGAGGTGGTTGCAGGGTTATGTAACACCAATGCTTCAGAAACAAAAGAAAAAGAATGTATCTCAGCGGACCGAGGGACTGCCACAAGGAAATAAGGAGAGTTTATGATTGGCAATTTTATACACCTATGGACACTTCTTGCCTTATACTCAAAGCTTCTCACTTGTTATGGGGACTTCGACAATCTGATCCACACCAGGGTACTCTGGCACCTCGAAATCATATTTCTTTGCAATGGACGGCGAAACAAAACTTGTGGACGTGTGAGCTAATTTGCCAGAACCGAGTCAAATCACACTTGTACGTACCGACCGCCAACAAAGTGGCGTCCCCGGAAGAATTTTACCAAGGGCTTCGGGGCCGTTAGACTGATAAGGGTGGCAGGCATGAAAGCACTACCTACTCCGGACTTTGGAGGACCGCTTTCGATGTCCCATGATGATGGTGCATCAACTGAAGTAACTGGGACTTTGGTTTCTTCTAGCGTCTGGATGACCTTTGGGAACGGCTCGCGAATATCACCGGAGAAGTTGAATCCTGCATCAGACGTGTCAATACATCGCTATGGCAACACACAAAGGCGAATATCGAACCAAAAACCGCATCCACAATATGATCCGTCGAGTCCACTGCTGATTGGAAGTCATCGACAAAAGGGACCTCGAGGTCTTCAAGCTGTTTAGCTAGGCGCTACGAAAACGAAGAGCGTCAGCACCGTGATTACCCAGGATATCTCTACTCTACCACTTTGCTAGACAAGACCAGAGGGAGACTGGTGTTGCATTGGGCCTGAATAACCCCTGCTCGACAACGCTTTAGAAGTCGGATAAGGGATAGACGGCATAGAAAGAGTAACGCAATTCAAAAGGGTTAAACGCATGCAGCCAGGGACGAGTGACTGTATCGCTATACGATAATTCGGAACTTAATTCGACTTGATGCCCAATTGCCAAGGCCGCTCACCTGGTATAGCTCATTTTTACTCCGTTTGGGGTAGAAGATGGTAGGTTGATATCCATAGTAGAACAAATGTCGAGCTGCCACGAGCCCATCTCCGCCTTGATGGTTGTTAGACTTCAAAATAACCAGTGGCATCAAGACTCGAAGCGACATACCATTATTTCCAGGACCACAGGCGACGAGGACTCGGCGGCCTTTATTCAGCGGGTGAACTCGGTAAACTTGGGCAAGGTAAGGACCATGATATAGCCATGAGATGTTGGTATGTATGGCTTACCAGCCTGGGAAACGGATAGTCCAGCAAGTTCCATCAGCTGGTCAATGGAAAAGGCGCAAGTGCTCATCAGCTCCTGGTCCAAAGCTGTAGCCGTTTTAGCTCCTAGAGTCTGCACGCAATGTGATGATTAGTATTGTCTACAACCTCGAAGCCCAAGACTTCAAACAAGCCGATGCTATGGCTGGAGCTACCTTAAGAGCCATATTAGATGATTAATATATTCCGAGTATTCAAGATAACGATCAACGGTGATACTATAGAAAGGCAGTCTTGCAGATGTGAAAATTGCTCAATACTCCTGCGTGCTCAGTATGACGAAGTTGATGTTTGAGCGAGGCCACTGACATCACCAGGAAGGTGGGAGGCGGCCGACCTTGACAGCCTTCCCCCAGACAGGCGCCCACCGCCACCGCTAATTGGTCGGCGCGGCGAAACCAGACATCCGGCCCAAATTCCACACTGAAATACTCTGTGATAGTCACTGCTAGCCAGCCCTCAATCCTCGAGCCCATTCCCAAAATCAAAAATCCACGACGCCAATTCCACCATGGTTGTTAAGATCCGTCTCGCGCGCTTCGGGCGCCGAAATTCCCCGTTCTACAATATTGTCGTGGCCCATGCACGGTATGCACCTGCCGCTCCTTTTGCCAACCATCAATTCGACCTTTGCTAACGAGCAAAAATGCAGCACGGCACGAAACTCTCGCCCACTCGAGGTTCTCGGCACCTACGATCCTGTCCCCAAGCCTGATCCTTACGACAATTCAGGAAGGCTCCACAAAGATATCAAGCTCGATACATCGCGCGCCAAATACTGGATCGGTGTTGGCGCCCAGCCTACCGACTCGGCGTGGCGATTGCTGTCTATGGTCGGAATCCTGCCAAAGAAGGTATTTGGACCCAAGCCCAGCGAGAAAAACGAGACAGTCGATGCGGAAAAGGTGAAAATTCGATAAGGGAACGGAGTTTTCAGCCAGGAAAGAGGGACCCGATGTACAATTATTGATCGCGTAATGGACGGATTGTATGATAGAAGGCGTGTCGAGCATTTACGGCGTTGGCTTGGGTTATGAATACCTTTATGTAGGAAAGTAGCAAGGTCAAATGGAAACATCTATTATCATGTGATTAAAAATCTTCAGCTCTACAAAATCAGGGAAGTACGCTGCCACCGAAAGACAATGAAATAAAACTTTAATTAGTTGAGCTACAGGTGGCTAAGATGCATGGTTATGAAACGCGGAGAGAAGTGATGATATCGCTTGCCTTATGCCAATGGTGTATTATGCCCTCTAATAGCCTAAACATATACAAATAAACCTTAATCCAAGAAGTAAACGACTGCGAGCTGCTTACAGCCTGCGCCGGCTAAAATAATACCATATCCGCCCGTCACTCAAAGAAATTGTTTCCTTTTGACTCCCTGGCCCGCATGCCGTCATGCTCGTAACTGCGGTATATAATCACTCTTCATCAGGCACCCCTTTGCCTATATTCCAACATTCGACCCTAATGAGACGCCGCAAAAAAGATGTTCATGAACAAGCATACGACCATGACCACTACGCCGTAAACGGACAATGCAAGGGCAAGTTTTCTAACCAAGCCGTGGTCAAGGTGCTCCAAGTCCCATCGCCATTTTCTTCTCCAGCGCCACGGGCTTCGATTGAGTGAATCTGACGTGCCGTCGAGAGCACTAGCGCTGCTTCCGGCCAGGCGCGCAGAGTCCTCAATATCTGAAGACCCTGAGTCTTCCATATCGTCGTCTTCTTTCATGAGCCGCTGGTGATACGAGCTTTCAGGATCGCTTATTTTGTAATAAAAGAGGCCCGGTAAGATAAAACTAATGGACGTGGAGCCCGTACTTCCCACAAAGGCAAGCACACGATCCAGACTGCTGACCGACAGGGCGGTAAAGTATGCTAGCGTTAAAATAAGGGTAGTAAGGAGCGCGAAGCGGGTGTCAGACATGGGAGCGGTGCCATGGTCAGCACGGGGGACCGTTGCTGCGGCAGATACAGATGGTATGCGACCATTGCTGGACTGTGAGCGGCTTGGTCGCCATTTCAGAACCGCATCTAAAGAGGCGCGGCAAGGATGAACCTGAAGTGGGATGGAAAATAAAACTAAAATAACAATTGCAGCCTTGCCAATGGTCGACGCGACTCCAGTGGGGTCTGAGAGACATTAGGGATGGCTATGCGTCAAGACCATGGGAAGAGCACTTACACATTAAAACAATATTACCGACAATATCATTACCAAACGTAATGTAACCAGTAATGGCGACCACAAGGTAGATACTGGCAGCTGATCCAATGCTCAAAACAATTACCCTGACCATGCTCGACGGAGAGTTGTTCTTAATTTCATTAACAATAGAAAACATCTAACATCCCGTTAGCAGCGCGTACAAGCAGCAGTTTCCCGAGAACTTGACTTACATTTTGATGACAAGTATAAGCGAAGACAACAATTGGTAAAGCACTCAATGTTTCGACAGCACCGGCCCATTTGATGACTCGAACATTGCTAGGGTCTGCGTGAGGATCAACTGCAAAGTGGTATATGACCAAAACGATGAGGTATCCGATCGAAACCAAGGCAACAAGACTAGTGTACTTGAGCGAATCAAGTCTCCGAAGAAAACTGAGAGGAATTACCAGAAGCATAAAGGCCGTAATCCAGAAATGACGGTCGACAAGATATGGGATATGGTCGGCACGACTGTTGAAACCAAGCATAACGCCAGGCATCAAGTCTCCAATGATAATCATGTAGGATACGCCTACTCCGAAGCACTTGATAGCGATGGCTGCGTCAAAGACGACGGAGGCTTGTGAGTAAGTGATTTGCGACAGCGCAAAAAAAGAAGCAGTTCCACGATCCAAATAACGGGCGCATTTAGACTGCAGGTAAAGACCGAAGGCGGAGGTAAGACCAGACCATATTACCAGTAAAACACCCAGCATTATTCCCATATGGGATAGTACTGATGGCATCGCCAGCGTACCAGCACCGACAACTACATAGGGCGAAAATTAGCGGTGACACGACACCAATGAGAGGACGGATAAGGGGTTGCGGACTCGTATTTAGTAGATTGACGATACTGCTAATCGTCGAGGCTTGCCCGCCATGACCGCCATCCTTGCCCCCACGTCGTCGTTTCCTACAGCAAAAGAGCATGGGTCAGTATTCTGCGACGTTGTGCTACACAAGCGAATACGGGTTCGATGGGTTCGCACCTTGGCATATCGTTACGAGGTCTGGCAGAATTACCATCCGAAATGGTTGAATAGTTGGTCATAGCAGGCTGCTACTATGCCAACAACACGCAGCACCAGGTGCTGTGTGCGTTTCCTCGTCGTCGGCTCGGAAGTCGGGGTCAAACTAGGTCTGGGAATGACCAGCAAGCCAGTCTTTTCTTTGCCCTCCTCCCAACACCGTCCCGGCCGCCGTGGAGAGGGCGCTCGTAAATGCGCAGGGCAGTATGCGCAGGATGAGAAACGAGTGAACAGTCCGAATTCGTGGACTGGCAAGTGCCAAGTATCGAGAGGGCCGAAAGAAGAATCGACCGGCAGTGCGTTCGTTGAGGAGTTGAAGGTTGGGCGGAAGAAGCGACGTCGTCGGCCACCCGCCGGAATTGAACGTCTATGTGGTCAAGCCTCACAAGACAGGCGCCGGGCTAGATTAGGCTGCCATTGGCTTGGCGTCAGTTGGCATTTACCTGACTGGTTGGCTGGCTTTTGCTCGGACAGAGCGTGTCATTGAGCGGGGCCATGGCTGACCAGTGACCTGCGCGGCTCACAGCCAATCAACGGCCTGATAGGTCGAGGTGATACTTTGCTCAGTTTCTCGAATCTCGAACATTGAATCTCGCATATTAAAGGTCAATTTAGTTGCCACATATCCTCCCTTATCATCTTAATAGACAACAGTCTCGCCCTCCCAGAAGGCAGGGTCCTGCAGCAACAATTCCTAACAATGATCATGGCTGCCGCCGCCGACATGGACAACACCCTTGACCAGACGACACTTGCCACAATCAATCTCCTCGAGTCGCGTCTCCTCCGCCTCGAGCATCTCCTCCATGGCCCTGCGGCATCACTCCCTCATGTATACCAAGACTCTGCTGCTCAGAAGTTGAAGGATATGGAAAGACGGTTTTCCATGGTGGTCTCCCATTTTCGGGTCTACAGCGAACTGCTTAAAATTTGTCAGTGCTGCACTGAAACCGCCCGCTACCATGTTATACACTCAACTGATATAAAACCCAGACAAGTTCAATCCGGACCTTTTCCACGCCCCGGACGCCTCTGTACCGCCATCCCAGCTGTCAAGCGACGCAATTCAATCTATCGTACTATCTCAGGCGCCTGCCTATTCCTCAGCTCTATCTTCCCTTACGGCTATACAAGACAGCCCCATACCCGATCCGTCGGAAAGCGCATCTCTCATAGCCCTGACGAACAAAATGAGAGCTATCGAGGCAACCCAGATTGCACAATTAGCAGAAATTGCTGAACTAAGACGAAGAAGCGAGACGGTCATCCGGGCTTGGTACGAGAACTGGGTGCTGAACAACTCCCAGTCTCTCGCTGATGTCGAAACACGCGTGGAACGGATAGAGAAGCAGATTCGGCAGAGAGAGCGGGCTCTTGAGGACGCGAAGCAAATATAAGTTAATACCAATCTGACCTGGCTTGGTTGGAGCAGACTGCAAGATGACTTGCATCATGATAGGTGGTAGACAATTGCGCAGTGGCCTGTCGGGATCATCATTGCGAGCTCAGTTGTCAAAATTACGAGGAGACGTTGAAAGCATTCATGATACCCTGTATTTCTAAGGAGGATATTGTCAGCGACATAGCCCTGCTT